AATGGCGAAAAATCTCGGAGGGCCCGTGTGCAAGTTGCGCACGTTAAAGATCCCTTGGTGGTCTAAAATCGATAAGAGTAGGCTTCGGCCGTCACCCGGGCAAAATTCAAAATTTCCTACCAACTGAAAATATTAGGTGCGTCCCGCGCGCTCATATGACCTTATGCAGTTGCGAGCGCCGTAAAACACTTTACAAAAACAAAAACAAGACTGCTACAATCGTTGAACAACAGAAACGTGGCACTTTGGGGCTGTTCGTTTCCTTCTTAAACTGAATATAAGAAAACGTTACCAAAGAATACTTCCAAGATTATATTCTTTGCTATTTAATTACTTTTAAGATTTGTGAAGGATGCTGACAAAAAGAGTTACTTCTTGGATTCGAGCTTGTTGGAAATTGCTACATCACGTTTATAGGTGAAGTGTTTACAATGTATAAGTATGAAATAATACAAGGCTTGCTATACTTAACCAATATATGACATCAATGGAAAATCCACAAATTTGAACCTAGCGTTGATTTTCGCCAATATCTCCTTTTGTGGATTGTGAGAAGTAACTCATTTTGTCAGCACGTCTCACATTTGTTGCTGTCCATGTGAGCCTACTTCCGAAAAAAAGAACCAAGAATAGAAATTTCTAGAAAATAGTGCTGCTTCTCTGTTGCTGTGGTTTCACTGTTGTTGTTGTTGTTGGGGTTTTTTAAAACTTTTGATGTTGTTTTGTTGCTGTTTTGACGTTGTTGTTGTTGTTGTTATTGTTGTTGTTGTTGTTGTTGCTGTTGTTGTTGTTGTTGTTGTTGTGTTAGTGGTGGTGGTGGTGGTGGTGGCAGTTCTGATGGTGTCATTGGTGTATCTAGTAAACATGTTTTTCAACAGAAGCCTGCAAAGCTGAAGCTACTTTTCAAAAGCAAAATGCTGAACAGAAAAAAAAAGAATTAGTGCAAAAGATATAGGCCTACTTAATAAATGTTTCATGCCACGGCAGCGATTGTGTTGATTGTTATGTTCTTGCAACGGAGATGTTTTGAGTTTGCTTCACCATTAATGTTACTATAATATGTGACTAGGCTCAGTTTCTCAATTTCTTAGAACTAATAACAGGTCATGTTTGTTGTTGAAGTGCAAAACTTTGTCAGACCGAGTTTGATTATTTTGAGAGCAATCCTTCAAACTTTTGGTCCCCAGTCAGAAGGTGGTTGGCGGGACCTCTAGTGTGGTTTGCTCCTTCTTTCCTATCAAACGTTTATCGTCCTAATTTCTCCCCCTTCTTCTTTTGGAGGAGTGACTCTCTTGTAAAACCTCTAGTCCTCGGCACTTATAAGTTATACTATGGCCTTACTGTTTTGCAAGTGCCGTAAAACTCTTACTAAAAAAAAGAGTATGGATAAAAAAACATTCGTGGTAGTTTAGGTTGGCCCAACATAACTTTGCCCCCGCTGAAAGCCCCAGTCTTTGCGCGTTCTGTGGGCTTTGTGACCTGCACAACATCTCTGGGAGACAATCATCATCATCATCCAGTGCCAGATCTGCGACAGACATCGGCGATCATGGTTCTCCATTCATTTCTTTTCTCGAATGCTTTGAAAGAAAGCTACGTTTCCCTGACCTTTCCCGGTTACCCATTTGTTTAGGTTCCCCACGTATATTGTTCTGGGCCTACCCCTGCCTCGTTTGCCTTCAGTTTTGCCAATGAGAGCTAGATATTCTAGAGCCTTGTGTCTATTCAGGTGTCCCAATAATATTATATTATTTGCCAAGTGCGTGTGGATAGGATCCAGGCGTTTCTTTACTTTGATCAGAGTGGCATAGAAGGAATCAGGGCTCGAGGTCATTCACACAAGCGTATATCAGAAACAAGAAAATGTGACGCTCTTTGCTCAGGTGCGCGTACCTGTGTGTTTGAGTTTAGTTCCAGCGAGAGTTTTACGGCACTTGCAACACAGCAATGTGATATTGTAAGCGCCAAGGATTAGAGGCCTTACGAAGGAGTAACAAACACAAAAAAGAAGGGGGAGAGATAGTGACAATAGATCCTTGATAGGAAGGAAGGAGCAAACCACACCAGGCACCAGAGCACCCGCCAATCACCCACATGCACGCGCGCGCGTGTGTGTGTGTGTGTGTGTGTGTGTTTGTGTGTGTGGGGGTGTGTGGGTGTGTGTATGTGTGTGTGCGTGTGTGTGCGTGTCTGACAAAACACCAATAGTTATGGAAAAGAAATCGTCTCTTCTTTGTTGGTCTTGTCTGGGCCCAGTTAGCTGAAATGAATTTGCTCCTAGTTTAAATTCCAAAAGGGGGAATTCTTGAATGAATGGTTCGGTGAGTTTTCAAAATTTTCTGGCTAGCTGAACAGGGTCGCACCTTGCAATGTTGCTAAATTGGAGTTTCCACTAGCCAAATTACACACGTTCTGCCAATACGTGGAAAGGTGTCAAAACTCCTGTGTCAGGGTTACAGCAAGCCGTCATAATATGTGTGACAGCGTGGAGAAACCAGGCGCTCGTTACAATAATGAAATAGAAAATATTTTTTCGCCTACAGGAACATTTTCGTCGATTTTTTCATCTCTTTTCTCTTTTTTGGGGGGGCTGGGGGGTGGCGCTCAACACATTTTACGTTCTGTGTTTAGTTCTAGTAAGCGTTTTACGGCACTTGCAACACAATTAGGTCATATAAGCGCCGAAGATTAGAGGTGTTACAAGTGAGCAACAACTTTTTTTTAAAGGAGAGAAGACGAGAGTTGTTTGATAGGAAAGAAGAAGCAAACCACACCAGAGCACCCACCAACCGCCCACATTTTATGCTCATTTCATAAAACACATTTCTGTTTGTAATTCACTGGGGAGGGGGGTGGGAGTTGATCAAAGGCGCTCAAATGTATTGTTGGTGTTTCGAAGAACGCTCAAGTCCCCAAAGTTTGATGGATATTTTCTCACTTTATATTTTTACTTCTGAAACCAGGCGAACCCGACCTCCCTCTCTAGAAAATACTTCGACTTCTATTCAAGATAGAGGGGGCGTTTTCTATTCAGCAAAAGCAAAATAATAAATGAACAAGCTTAAGATATGATACAAAAAATATTAAAGAATCGACAAGCGCATGATTACACCATGTCGTGAGACATATCATATGATCTCCCTAAATCGAGAAGTGACTAATCAGTAAAGCCTAAAGCGACGTTTTGACTACCCATTCACGTAGCTGCAGTCACCTGGCATATCGACAATAAAAACCAATGTTTGCTTTAGCCACTACTCTCAACAAGCCAGCACAAATACAGCGGACAGACGAAATGGCTTTCCGGCAGTGCTAATGACAAATCAGATCCGAAATCGGGCCCCATTTGCTTTGGTACAAGAAAAACAGGATGTTCTTTTAATGGGGTGGCATTGAATTTCTTCTTGTGCAACCTCTAGAGAGCGCGGGAAATCCGCAGTTTTCGATTTCTTAGGGAACAGGCGAATAATTAATCCACAACCCTTATTTTTTTTGTTAGAGGCGTAATTGATGTATTAACAGAAACCGCCCAAAATAACTACGGGCTTCTTCAACATTTAGTCACTTATAGAATGGTCTACTAGAATAACAGTAAGACACAATGAACTAAATTACGGAGAGGAAGTTTCAGAAAAGCCGCCTTTGGAAAATAACAGGAAAAACGCCTTGTTGTTGTAGTATAATTAATGCCCCTTTGCGTTGTCCGCGTTTATTCTGGAACAGACATGGGAACAGCTGAGCACGCATGAGGGTGGGGGAGTGTGTGTGAGTGTGTGTGTGTGTGTGGGTGTGTGTGAGTGTGTGTGTGTGTGGGTGTGTGGGTGTGTGTGAGTGTGTGTGTGTGTGAGTGTGGGTGTGTGTGTGTGTGTGAGTGTGGGTGTGTGGGGGGGGGGGGTGATTACTATGGCTCTCAGCACCAACAAAAAAGAAGAAAAAAATTCTTGTAACAAAAAATACCTCTGCATGACGTGATGTTTATCTTACCAATCATTTTTTTCTCCCATTAAAATAAACGCAATCAGGAGAGACGTTATTTTTTTCCCTCAGAACTAGTCAGCGAGGTGAAAGGATCGGGTGGAATATTTAACCCTATACGTACGTCGTGTTTTACAACTCGTTCATCCGATCCGTACGCTTTGCATAGCAGTCTGTCAAATATTTTTTTAGAAATACTGAAAGTTTCAAAGAGTTCTTCGTAGCCTACTAGAAGTATTCTCAAATGTGAAGAATACAATCCTGGGGTGTGCAAAATAACCTGAGGGCGTACGGATGTGGTTAAGCTCTTTGTATAATAACATCCAAAGGAACGCCTAACACCCTGGAAATAGGAATGTTGACCTAAATACATATTGTTATTAGATAAGTAAATAACAAACAAAATAAATAAAAAGTACCAACCAAAATACCCCCCCCCCAACCCCCCAAAAGCCACTAAAAATACTGTTTCAAAATTGCAAGATACAAAACTTTGAATCATGATAAAATCATTGACAGCAGTATCTAAATTACTAATAAATACATTTTAAAATAATGTTTAAAACCATGTAGTATACAACGACTATGCAGTTTTCATGTCCCTTTTAACTCTGTGAGGGTATAGAAGCTAGAGTTGAAGGAACATAAACGTAAACTACGCTTACACAATGATCAACAGGTGGTAAGAAAGCGGAACGCAGATGAACTATTGTCCTCGGGCACATTTTGCATTCATGTATTCATTCTTCTATTTATTTATTTATTCATTTATTTATTCATTTATTTATTCATTTTCTATTTATTTACTTATCTTTCTGTTTATTCATCTGTTTATTTATTTACTTATCTGTTCATTTTTTTAAAATTTATTTATTTATTTATTCATTTATTTATTCATTTATCTATTTATTTATCTATTTATTTACTTATCTTTCTGTTTATTTATCTGTTTATTCATTTACGTATTTACTTATCTATTTATCTATTTATGTATTTATTTCTGTCTGTTTGTGTGTGTTGTTCAGATGAGCCCCCCGCCACCCTGGACTCCGGCTACAAGGTACTTCTGACCCTTGGCATTGTGGTGTCGGCCTTTTTGATCGGCGCCGTGGTGGCCAAGCTGGTCAGTAACTGGTACAACAACCGCAAACAGGAGAAGGCCAAGAAGGCGCAGCTGGACCAACATGCCAAAGACATGGTCCGAGCCAGACTGGCCATAATGCAGTTCAAGAGGCAGCGCTTGCCCAAGGTTAGTTTTTTTTTTTTTTTTTTTTTTTTTTTAAGGGTTTTACGGCGCTCGCAACTGCATAAGGTCATATGAGCGCGCGGGACACACCTAATATTTTCAGTTGGTAGGAAATTTTGAATTTTGCCCGGGTGGCGGCCGAAGCCTACTCTTATCGATTTTAGACCACCAAGAGATCTTTAACGTGCGCAAATTGCACACGGGCCCTCCGAGATTTTTCGACCTTGTCCGAGAAGGCTAGGTGTAGATCTTTCCTACCAGAAGATCAGGGGTGTGGCAGAAAGACAGCAGTAAGGAGGAGCCAAGGAGTAGCAGTAGAAAGGCTGCAGAAAGAGTCAGGAGCCCAGAGGAAGGGGCAAAGGAGGTGAGGGGGTGGGGGCAGAAAGTGGAAATGAAAGCAGACAACAGAACATTGCTAGAGAGCTGGAAAGGAGGTGAAAGGAGACAATTTTAGAGAAGAAAATTTTTCGGTCGTGAGACATGTATTTACTTGGCCTAATGTCCTGTCTTGTGCGTTTGCGTGAGTGCACCTTTAAGTCTAACTTTTGTAACGTCTACTGCCATTGTTAACGACCAAGACAAATTTCTCCCTGCGAGATGAATAAAGATTGTCATTGTCATTGTCATTGTCATTGTCATTGTCATAGTCATAGTCATTGTCATTGTCATTGTCACTGTCACTGTCATTGTCATTGTCACTGTCACTGTCACTGTCACTGTCATTGTCATTGTCATTGTCATTGTCATAGTCATAGTCATTGTCATTGTCACTGTCACTGTCACTGTCATTGTCACTGTCACTGTCACTGTCACTGTCACTGTCACTGTCATTGTCATTGGCATTGTCATTGTCATTGTCATTGTCATTGTCATTGTCATTGTCATTGTCATTGTCACTGTCACTGTCACTGTCATTGTCACTGTCACTGTCACTGTCACTGTCACTGTCACTGTCATTGTCATTGGCATTGTCATTGTCATTGTCATTGTCATTGTCACTGTCATTGTCACTGTCATTGTCACTGTCATTGTCTTACACTTGTGACTCTTGGTTCAGCAACATGCATGGCTGTGGTGACCTCCAGAATCTTTGGTTTTGCTTACGTCAAAGGAAGAACATTTTTGGGGGTCGGAAGTGAATGGATTGTAGGGAGATCTTTTGACAGAAAAAATTGATGTAGGCGTCTTTACGCTGTGAGGCAGCATGGTGGAATCAGGCTCTCGTCAAAATAATCAAAGTGAAGAAACTTGCATTTTTCCACAGGTTTTGTGAATTTTTATAAAAATTTGATTTTTGGCTCAACACCTCTCATGCCCATTAAAGAACTCATTTCTGTGTGGATTTTTCTGAAAAATGTTGATTAAAGGCATAAAAATGTAAATTTTCAGTTACCACGGACTCTTAAGCTAAGGAAATAACAAATCTTTGGCGGCCATTTCTGACTAATTTTACCTCTGAAAATAGGTGACCCCCCATCTCCTTCATTCACAAATATCTCGACTTGTATTCAAGATAAATGGATATTTTTTAAAATCTTAATAAAGACAAGTGAACAAACTTTAAGATAATACCAATAACTCTACATGCCCAAAAAGTGACGAGAGCCTGATTCCACCACGCTGCATCACATATCGGGATACTCGATATTTTCTCAACGCTCGGGACTCTAACTCAAGTGTCATGTCAGCTAAGCGCCAGCCGCTACACAACTGACGCCGGTATTTATTGTTTGTTTTTTTGTTGTTGTTTTTTTTTTTTTTTTAAAGAAACTCATAAACAAATGCCTTACGTATGCGTCTTTTTACCCCCCCCCCCCCCCCCGCCTCCCGCCCACCTTTCCACCCAAGGCGCCGTCCCAGGAAGAGCTGGCAAGGCGGAGGAACCTTGGGATCTGGAGTTATAACGGCGGGACGTCCATCGGTCCTCTTCAACCAGGGAAAGCCTCACCCAGGAAGAAACAAAAACGTGGGAGCAATCAAGCCAGCACCAATGGGAACAACCGGGAGACAGGCGACAGTGAACCAAACACCATGAGGATCGAAGAGGCGACGGAGGAAGAAAGTACAACGGACCCAGAAAAGGGAGGTGATCTAAGAAAAGAGCCTACCAAAAATGCTGACGGAGATAAAAGCAAAAATACCGGCAGCCGCCGCCCCCCTCCTCTGACCCAGTTAGAGCTCGTGTCGGAGGTGAACAAAGCACCCGTCGTGAAATTCGAGGAAAAGTCACAGGGAAAAAAATTCTCAATAGACAGCTCCCGCTCCACAATGTCCTCCAATCTTGATGACGTCACTCTAAAAAATTCTAAGTCTGAGCCGTCGTTGGACGACAATGCCAATTCTATTGATATGTCTAGGCCGTCCAGCCAGGGTACAGAATCTGTGTCTCCAACAAACATGGAGCGAGAATCGAAACGGCCGGGGTCAAGTCGGAAATTGTTCACCCACGTGACTCCAAACGTGCACCTTTCTCGAAATGACAGCTCGAGATTCTCGAAAGACAGTAGTGATTTAAACAGTGTGAAGAGTTTAGGTAATGAGAAAGTAACTCGAATTTCAACTGACAACCGCCCGAAATCGAGCGCAACAAAGACTCTACATGGGAAGACGGTCAAGTCATCAATAACTGGGTCCGTGACAGAAAGAAATTCGAGGCATTCAGCGCCAAATCCGAAGTCAGTCAAACCAATTACAGGTGTCAAAACATAAAGACAATTCAGTTTGTATGTCATAAAAACTGTGTCAAAGGAAAGGTCGCTCCTAAAAGTCCCCAGATAAAAACCCAGCGACGACCAGGTAGATAAATTCATCTAAATCCTATTTGTACGACATATTATTATTCACTCTGGGTTAGCCGCTCCTTTAGACAAAAGCAGATTTTTGTTTTCGTTGAGATGAAGAGCACTTGCTTTCAGAGGGCAGTAGAGTACGCTGTAGAGTGTATCAGAGCGCAGAAGCTGCCTGCATACAGTTAGGTCATTAAGGAGATGGGGCACTTAGCCTAATCATGGGAGAAAATAAAAAAGAAGGAAAGAAATACGAGAGAGCGACTATTGACCAAAGACAGCATCACGCAGGGTGTGCTAAGCACAAAATATCACGTTCATGCGTACAAAGCATTATACTACCCCTATGGAGGTACACAAGCCATCACAGTAACTTCAATAAAGGCTACATCTTTCGAAGATACAGTTTCAGCCCCTTATGGCACACATACATCGGTGATTCCACACACGTTCCTACCTGACACCATCCAAGTAAATTCCATAATCTGCCGATTTCTTCGCCAGCAACAGGAACGAAGGGAAATACGGCAAAGTCAATAATACTATTCTTGAGACACAATGTACATCATAACACGATGTCTCGCAGGCATCCGTGGAAATCAGCCTCATGTCCCCAAAAACAAGACTTGGACGCCCTACGGGTTTCCGAGGAGCTGAACCTCCTGTTGGTAAACAGTGAGTCTTAGTCTTCAAAATCAAGGAATTTTCGCCATATAAAACTATTTATAGAAATAATTTTTAACAATGACCCTTTTTGGTTCAATTTTAATTATCGAATTTTGTTATTTGTTTTTGTGCGTCGTTTTTCGGGGGTCCTTCTTTTTTTGTGAAAGACTGCTTTAATGATCACTTTGACAATTTTTACTGGCGTGTGATACCACCGATAAGACTGACACAAAACAATCTTCACTTGCACATTTGACTCCCAATACACGCCCCGATTCTTCTACTTCTAGAGTCTACATTCATTGCCTATACTTTCAACACTTGTGTCACTTTTCCAGGATAAACGTGGACCTTCCTTAAGACATTGATTGAAGTGTAGTCATCCACCAAAATCCTATCAACATTCATGATTACTTTTGTCTGTTCATGTAAATGGCAATCATTGATCTCTTTTAATAGCTGCTCACCCCCATCTCCTCCTCCCCCCCCCCCCCCCCCCTGGTCAATATTCACGCCTCACCTTTTTTTCTTATTTCTGTATCTAGACAAACGTATCTTCATGACAATGCATGTTTTCAATGATGGTTTGATTGTAGTTTTTTGGTGCATATGTTTTCGTGCAAAAGATAATAAATTTGTTGCTTCCATTTCACAAAGACAAAGTGTTGGTATGCTACAGCATTGTCTGTATACCCCTTTAGATAAAGAGAGTGGGTGCTGTGGTGTGGTTTGCTCCTTCTTTTCTATTTAACATCTATCGTTCAGATCTCTTCTCCTTCTTTTTTGTATTTGTTACAGTGGAGTCCACTTATAACGAGTCCGGAAACAACGAGAAGTCTGTTATAAAGACACTATTCTAAAACCCCGTTTTTTTCTCTTCTTTATCTTTGCAAATAAAATACTGCTATAGCACTATCAGACAAACATGCGAGTCGGTTATAGCGGAATATTGCTGCTGCTGTGCACAATAGATAGACCAGTTATACATAATGCAAAACCTCACCAGTTGAGAAACTTGTTGGTGATCTAGCGAAACTAAGAATGGGAGAGCCCATGTGTGTCAACAATGAAGGCTTTGGTATCATACCGAGTTATTTCCATTTAAAAAATGAACAACAAACCTTGTATTTTAAGTCATTCAGAGCAACCAATTCACAAGACTCAATGATGTTCAGCCGCCATAGTTGAAACAAATCCGGCCATTTTGACGGCAGACAAAGAATCCCAGCCGTAGGACCCGGGGCCAAGGGGAAAAGTATTCCAGGTGACACACAAAGATAAGTTTGGACACTGTTTGGAATTGAATTTCAAACTGACACAGGTTATTCCAGTTCATCAATGCAGGTGGTTAGAGGACGCCATTCATGGTAGGTCCTACTTCTTTATTTTCCCTCTGCAGTTTCTGTCTGTCTGTCTCACTTTTTCCCCTCACTTTACTTACTTTACTTTTACTTTTCCGATCCAGTGGCCATTTGGGTTCTAGCCCTTCGGTCTGTTTGTTTGTTTGTTTGTTTGTTTGTTTGACTGATCAAGTACTGAGAAGCACATCAACACAATAATGATCTTTTACTTGATCAGTCAAACAAACAAACAAACAAACAAACAAACAACCGAATTCATCAACTAATGTTGCTACAGTAGAAGCCAATGAAAGAGATAACAAAATGAGAGAAAAAATAAAGCCTTTATGATAAATAGTCAGTAAAGTCAGTAAAAGAAAGTATATTTTATTTTCATTCAGCAGGTACCATAATATAATATATTGGGCTATATAGGCCTAACGTTGAACTCCCTCCTTTTTCATTCAGCAGGTACCATTATAATAGAATATATTATATAGGCGTAACGTTGAACTCCCTCCTTTTTCATTCAGCAGGTACCATAATAGAATATATTATATAGGCGTAACGTTGAACTCCGTCCTTTTGCCATTCAGTCATAAACTGGTGTGTTCTTGAACAAATAGTTGAGCAAAATAACTGTAAACACTGTTATACGGAGGGCTAGCCATCAGTGTCTTCAAGCACAAACTATAAGGATGGAGACATTCTTCCTACAGATTTATGGAGAAGGAAAAAGATGGTTTTCTTGAAAGTGATAGCAGAACATGGACTCTGTTCACAAGAACATTTACATAGGTGAGGCAGCGTGGTGGAATCAGGCTCTCGTCAATTTTTGGGTATGTAGAGTTATTGTTATCATCTTAAAGCTTGTTCACTTGTCTTTATTTAGATGAAAAAATTATTCATTTATCTTGAATACAAGTCGAGATATTTACGAATAAAGGAGATGGGGGTCACATGGTTTTAGAGGTAAAATTAGTGAGAAAATTGCCTCCAAAGGTTAGTTATTTCCTTAACTTAAGAGTCCGTGGTAACTGAACATTTAATTATGTTGTGCCTTCAATCAACGTTTTTCGGTAAAATCCACACAGAAATGTGTTCTTTAATGGGCATGAAAAGTGTTGAGTCAAAAACCAAAAATTCGATAAAAATTCACAAACCGGCGGAAAATGTCAGTTTCTTCACTTTGATCATTTTGACGAGAGCCTGATTCCACCACGCTGCCTCACATATTTTGGTTTGATGGTCGAGATATAAGTAAACGGGGTGAAAAAGGAATTTCTTTCCTACGCATAAAGGCATCATTAGAGTGGAAATTCTGAATTTGATGGTTTGATCCCAAGGCCACTGATATATGACTGTCCCCGTTGTTTCATGCAAGAACAATTCTGTCCCCGTTGTTTCATGCAAGAAAAATTCTGAAATTATGTAAACTGAGCCCAAAAATGTGAAATTCTGCAATTCTGTTAATTTAAAAAAAAGAATGATAAAGGAAAAATAATAAGTACTTCCTAAAAAAAAAGAATATTATTATTATATTATATTATGATTATTATGACATGTATTAAGTACTAAGTGCTTATGTAAACACTTCTCTTTTCCTGAGTCCGATAACACTAAGATGATCATCAGTTTGTAAAAGAAAAGTGTGTGCGAGGCAGAGCGAAAAAAAGTTTGCTCCGAGGAGTGGTCAGGCGTGTCTCAAACCAGCTCCTCATGGAGACAATTAGCCAGAAGACCTTGAGGTGGATGCTGGAAAGAAGAGATGAGCAGCTATGGACATGTACCGCCTGCTATGATTCTAGCTCTGGATCCAAGTAAATCCAAGTAAATCCAAGATCATCAGTTTACCGCTTCATTTTTTTCAGCAGATTTCCGGAACTTTCCTACCATTTCCATGACCGTTTCATACAGTGGGGGTGGATCTTGTTTGCCATTTGTTGGGATATTTTCAAGAAAGGAGATGTAATCAGCTGGCATGTTGTTCTGTTTTGCTCCATCTATGATCACCTGCATAACAACAAACAGAAACTTACCAAGTTTGACAATTTGTGAGGCAGCGTGGTGGAATCAGGCTCTCGTCAATTTTTGGGCATGTAGAGTTATTGGTATCATCTTAAAGCTTATTCACTTGCCTTTATTTGGATGAAAAATTTTCCATTTATCTTGAATACAAGTCGAGATATTGCAAAAGAAGGAGGTGTGGGTCACCAGTTTTCAGAGGTAAAATTCTTGGAGTAACTATATAGGGAGAGGCCCTAACGTTGCGTCGCCCGCTCAACAGTTCCAACCAAGTTGAAGCCGAAAGGGCGGAGCTTATCGGGCCTGCCGCCATCTTTGTAAGTTCAAAACAATGCAGCGTACGCAGTGTAATCTCCTTTCAAAACAAGCTGCTCGGACTCCATTTTCTCTCAAAATTTCTTTGTCAATGTTAATTACAGCATTATAAGCACTCACGTACAGTTGTAATGTAATAAGGATGTTAACAAATCTTACTTGCATCAAATTTCCAGCTCATTTAGTCGAATATTTACAGTAATACGTGTACTATGTATACACATTGTGATGGTAAGATATTCTGTTTTACATGTTTTAGAGACAAAATTGGGATAATAAGGATCAAAACAAAATTATAAACGGGATGATAACATTTGCTGAGTTTTTGGTAGTCGAACTTCATTATTTTTACAAAAAACGAAGACTTCTTGATAGTAACAATATAATAAGGACAGCAAGAAATCTTACTTGCATCAAATTACCAGCTCACTCAGTCGAACATTTGGTAATACATGTACTATGTATACACATTGTGACGGTAAGATAATTTTTTTAACTTGTTTTAGAGAAGAAATTGGGATAATAAGGATCAAAACAAAAATATAAACGGGATAACAAAATTTGCAGACTTTTCGGTCATAGAACTTCATCAGTGCAAAATGATGTCATCACTGACATTATTTTTACAAAAACGTAGTCTTCTTGACTTAAACTTACAACAGAATATATTTCTAACAAAATTGAAAATGATTACACAAAAGATGGTAGTGAGGGTGGGATGGGATGGGCGAAGAATGAGGAAGGAGAGGGCAAGGCAGATAAGAGTGAAGTATGATGGTGGAAATTATCCCCCCCCCCCCCCCACACACACACACAAAAACAAGAATAAAACAGCTCCCCCCCCCCCCCCCAAAATAAAGCGAGGAGGGAGGGGCACCTTTAAAACACCAAGACACTTTATCTAAATTTTACAAAATACTGTTAAGGGTATTGAAAAATTAATAGAGAATTTGAAATGATAGGCTTATAATAAGAAGATTTTCAAAACAGATTGCACTAATTTATGACATTTCACTCTTGACAATGTCACACCCCATGCACAGACAGACGACACATGGCATCAAAAATGTTATTCACACACCAAACACACTTCAATGACATTCTTTGAAGGCACTGTCGAACCTCCGACGAGACTTCAAAAAACAGCAACGAATTTACTTTTGACACATTGGAGTCAACAAAGGCACCGATGCAGGTTTCACATTTTCAAATGCTTTGTCAACCTTAACAACACAAAACCAGCAATGTAAGCAACATGCAGAGCAAATTGACAAGTATGCTAGAGTAGATCTAGGCACATACGTGCAGTTATCATCATGGCAAACTGAATTTTCTGAAATCTTTTTTTCCTTCTGTTTTTACTGTGAGATGCAATTACGGCTAAATCAGAAGGCACTTCGTCATAAAGTTCAGTGCCATTGCTAGAGACTGATATTTTTTAAAACATTTGGTAGGAAATTTTGAATTTTGCCTGGGTGGCGACCGAAGCCTACTCTTATCGATTTTAGACCACCAAGGGACCTTTAATTTACGCAATTTGCATACGCGACCTCCGAGATTTTTTCGCCCTTGTCCGAGAAGGCTAGGGGTAGATCTTTCCTACCAGAAGATCAGGGGTGTGGCTGAAAGACAGAGGTAAGAAGGAGCCAAGGAGTAGCAGTAGAAAGGCTGCAGAAAGAGTCCGGAGCCCTGAGGAGGTAGGGGCAGAAAGTGGAGGTGAAAGCAGACGAAAGAGAAAGTAGAAGTTTAGAGAACAAAATTTTTCCGTCACTACTCGGATTCGAACCCGGGACCTTTGAATGAGAGGCCCATCGGACCCGAACGCTACGCAAACTGCCATTCGGTTGACACTAAGTTTACAACTGAGAGAACTGAGCTGATCTCACAAACATGGCCGACCATCGCCTGCAGCGGCTTCACGTTACGCGACTCGCAGCCTCTCCTATTATAGTTCCTCCAAGGTAAAATTAGTGAGAAAATGGCCGCCAAAGATTAGTTATTTCCTTAGCTTAAGAGTCCGTGGTAACTGAAATTTTACATTTTTGTGCCTTTAATCAAAATTTTTCAGAAAAATGTACACAGAAGTGATTTCTCTAATGGGCATGAAAGGAAGTGACCCAAAAAACAAAAGTTTAATAAAAATTCACAAACCTGTGGAAAAAAGCAAGTTTCTTCACTTTGATTATTTTGACAAGAGCCTGATTCCACCACGCTGCCTCACATTTGTTGATTTACCATTCACAGAAGTTAGCTATAAACAAAAAAATACAATCATCATCATCATCATCATCATCATCATCATCATCATCATCATCATCAATGCCTTCCACTCCTGACAGGGTATAGGTCACATACAAATAATAAGCGAGAAGACGAAGAAATCAGAATTAATCTCAGGTGTTATGACAAGAGGAAGAGCAGACCCATACAGAGAGGAACATACACAAATGACTGAATCAACTTTACAAGAAACATACAATGAGAAAAACCAAGCTGATCAGGATGACAGACAACAGGAGAGAGTGGGGTACCACAATCATCAATGTCTGCTCCAGACCTGACACCTGAACAAGAGGATTAAGCCGAGCCTGTTTAAGAATAGAATGTCTTGTTTTTCCTTCTGCTTGTTTAGTTGTTAGTTTTAGTAAGAGTTTTAATGCACTTATCGCATCACAAATAGGTCATATAAGTGCCAAAGATTAGAAGTGTTACATGTACTAACAAAGAGTAATACACAGAACAGAAGGAAAGATTAAAGTAAGTGTATGGGTTTAATACCCCTATCAACAATACTAGCTCTTACTTTAACATCCGTTTCCGATAAATGCAAGCCAAAAGAGTTGAGAGCTTGAAAACTACACAAAACGAGCTGAAGTCAAGAATGCCCAGCCTGAGATACAAACCAAGGCCTTCCACTCTGTAGCCCAGCAAGGAAACCAGATAAGGACGATAGAAGTTTAATTTTTTTTTAAAGCGGGAAAACACACCAGAGCACCTGCCAACCACCCACTTCCTTGTGCCTGACTACGTCAATTTTTTTTAAAAGCAAAAAACTTTCGTCTAAGACAGAGGGACACACAGGGTGACTCAAAAGTCCAGCATCACCCTGAATCTACACGGTAAACACCAGCCAGCTGTGCTGTCAAAAATCACTCCACAAAAAATTTCTGTCAGTGATATTGGTATAATAGATTCGACAACATCGCCACATTAGAAAAGTCTAAAGAAAAAAATTTGTGAAAAAGAAGATAATAAGCTCTACCAAAAAACATTTTCATTTTTTGCCAAATTAGGATCCGAATAATGAAGCCGTCAAAAGATGCTTCATAGGATATTATTGTCTCACTGAAATCTCAAATGACTCAAGTTCCACTAAAATTACCAAACTGGCAGAAAAATGGTGTCTTTGATTTCATTATTTCGACGAGCCCTTGATTTCACCACGATGTCTTACATATTACGTTAACAAATCACAAAAATCATATAAGGGGGATATACCTTCAAGTAAAAAGGGTTCGGGCGATGGTCTCCAGTCCTAGTTTCATAATCTATTTGGTAACTTCGGCAAGTGACATGTTGCCCAGTCTCCAGCTCCACATCAACAGAGATCGGATGATAATCACCTTCTTGGCTGAGGTAGATATTTTTTTTTTACAGATCATTATATACAGTGATAACAGAAGAAAAGAAAACTGAACCACACAGTAAAGGAGAAACAGAAATGAGGACAGAAAATGAAACAGAAGTTCAGCTTTTAAATGTGATAAAATATAAGAATAAGAAAAAAGGTAACAGTCAGAGAAGGAAGAAAAAGTGAGTAGAGTGATAAAGAGATGATAAAAGAGAATGAGGAATAATGTAGAAAAAGGATGAGATGAATAAAATAGGAAGCATAAAAAAGTACATTAATGAAAACACAACCAAAATAGAAACATCACTTGTACTGTCAAGATTAGATTTCTGTCATTCTTTACTTGCAGGACTTCAAAAGAATCTTTAGCATCACCTCTAAATTGTCCACAACTATGCTGCCCAACTTATGAAGAAGGAAGGAAGTAAAAACCATGTGACCCCAATCCTGAAAGATCGGCATTGGTTACCAATAGGCAGACGCATTATCTATACGACCTGTCTCTTATGTTTTAATCTCTCATCGGGCTGGCACCAAACTATATCTCAAGTGGCATTTATAAATATACACCTTCGAAGAAACTAAGATCTGCTTGTGTCAAAAACCATTTCAACTGAACCAACTAGCCTTTCTAAATAGTAAGATTATAATTATTGTTATTTGAGAGGCAGCGTGGTGAAATCAGGCTCTCGTCAATTTTTGGCCATGTAGAGTTATTGGTATCATAAAAAAATATCCATTTATCTTGAATGCAAGTCCAGATATTTGCGAAAGAAGGAGGTGGGGGTCACCTACTTTCAGAGGTAAAATTAGTGAGAAAATGGCCGCCAAAGATTAGTTATTTCCTTAGCTAAAGAGTCCGTGGTAACTGAAAATGTACATTTTTTGTACCTTTAATCAACGTTTTTCAGAAAAATCCACACATAAATGAGTTCTTTAATGGGTCTGTAAGGTGTTGAGCCAAAAAACAAAAATTTGATAAAAATTCACAAACCTGCGGAAAAATGCAAGTTTCTTCACTTTGATTATTTTGAAGAGAGCCTGATTCCACCACGAGGCCTCACATTTATTAGAAATAGAAGCAACAACAAAAGCAACTGATTTTTAAAAGATTCTTTAAAGTTTCGGTAATATCAGGAAGTGCTGATCCTTCCGTTTCTTGACAAAATGCGTACATTATATGTGAGGCAGCGTGGTGGAATCAGGCTCTCGTCAAAATAATCAAAGTTAAGAAACTTGCTTTTTTCTGTTGATTTGTGAATTTTTATCAATTTTTTTGTTTTTGGCTCAACACCTTTCATGCCCATTAAAGAACTCATTTCTGTGTGGATTTTTCTGACAAAACGTTGATTAAAGGCAAAAGAAATGTAAATTTTCAGTTACCACGGACTCTTAAACTAAGGAAATAACTAATCTTTGGCGATCATTTTCTCACTAATTTTACTTCTGAAAACAAGTGACCCCCACCTCTTTTCTTTCCAAATATCTCGACTTGTATTCAAGATAGATGGATATTTTTAAAATCCAAATAAAGACAAGTGAACAAGCTTTACGATGATACCAGTTAACTCTACATGACCAAAAATTGACGAGAGCCTGATTCCACCACGCTGCCTCATATATTCATTTACTAAGAGGATCCTGACAGCAGGCAAACCTTTACAAGACATCTGTGTATCATCCTTGTTTTATCGTAGTATTAACTCTTTAAACCCTCGGTTTTTTCCACCGTTTCCCGGAGTTTTATCTACAGTCCCCTAAACCTGGTACACGATGTCTCATTAGAACCACAAAAGCTTGTCTACAACTTCTAAAAGGCAGACACAAAGGCTTATTTATTACTAAAAAACTTGGTTCGGGAATAGTTCCGAAAAACAAGCAAAAGCTAACTCTAAATAAAACGAAAATGTGGTCACTAGAATCGGACGCTCCCAGCATTCAATGGGGAACAGGGTGGTTGGTTACCACTGGACGTTCCCAACGTCTGATGGGGTTTACAGAGTTAAAAGATATAAATTGCTACACTTCTTGCAGTTTTTGTATATGAAGTCAAATACCTCGTTTTTCCATTAATCATATTATGTTCAAATGCAACATTTCATTAAGCTCACCAGTGACCATACGGTGGTGGTAGGAAATGTAGCCTTCTGAGGTACCATGAGCATAAAAATGATGAAATGATATCGTTTTACCGCCCCTATCAACACTATTAGGATATTTAAGAGGCGGGACCTCCGAATTTAACGTTCATCTCCAAAAGCACGGAGCCAAGTCGGAAATTTGTGTAAAGCATTTTACCCAAGGACACAACGTTGGACCCAGCTGAGGCTCAAACCCCAGAACCTGCAATCTCACTTAACTCATTATAACGAATCCTGTAGCCTAATCAATAGGCTACCAACGCCACCTGCCTTAGGTGTGAAGGTAGCAGATGATAATGCTCAGAGAAGTGTTCAAACTATAAGTCAATGTGTAGATATGAATATTATACATTACATTATCGCTATTGTCTTGTACAGGAGCTTCGATTTACATGTCATTAGCATAGTTGCGAAACAAGAATACATTTGCTCACTTACGCATCCATGCGATCCATTTGATCTTCATCAATTTCCCACACACAGCCTAAGACATAACTTCCTTCTTTCGGTTCTATCGTGGCTACTGCACCAAACCAGTGCAACTCATTATAACCTTGTGGTGTTTCGAAATCCAAAACGTAATCCTGAGAAAACAAATAAGAAATAGAATTTTAGAATAGTAACTTGAAAGTTCTAATAATACAAGCTGAAAATGCAAAAATAATTACACACAAAGGGTTTATTTCAATCTCAATACTTGTCAAGAACTTGAGTTAATTTGTAAAACTTCAAAAACACAATACCCTGCTCCTCTGCTTATCTAGGTCGTCAAGCTCAGTAAAAGTTTGAAGGGGACAGCACAAATGTTTGTTCTAAATCAAATCAGAACCTCGTTATTGAAGCAGACAAAAATGTTGGCTTTCATAGTCATAAAAGGTAAGCCTACTTTCAATTCTTACTGTCAAGATTTCTGGGGATAGACTCTATAAAATTTTGAGAAGTGCAAAAAGTTGATTACAGCTTTTAACGTTTAATGATCCTCAAATCAACTGCTTTGTCATTGTGTAAGACTCCGCCATGCAACATTTTGAAAAGAGGTGTACGACAGTCTTACCGAGCATTTAAGATATTCCTCTCTTCTTTACATTTCAATTCCTATGGTATGCGTTTCCAATTTTCAAGATGGCCTCGTTTCCATGACAACGCCTCACGTAATCGAGCATGTCCACTGCTGAACATGAATCTTTTATCTCATACTTACTGTCGGTGACAAACGTTGTTTCAGTTTGTCTTTAGTTCTAAAAAATCTTGTCCCGTAAAAACTCACACTCAATTTTCCAATGCATCGAAACCTTGCAGTAGGATTGCATATAAGGATTCTCTCCAGCAGCAAGTTACTACCATAAGAAAAGTACTGAAAAATACCCATCTCTTTGTACTAGCTCCTACTCAAGGAAAGATGGCCATAGACTTCGATCTCTCCAGGTGGAAAGTTCACCGTTGAAGTCCTGAGGAAGAAATTAAGAAACCCTTTATCATAATGAAGTGACTATTTCTCCGAACGCTTGGGAAAATAACCGTGACCTCTATTTCCCCGAATAGTTTCCGTTCTCAAGATTTTTTTTTATTTGCGAGAGTTCGGCGTCATCTTTCATTCTCTGCCATTCCGCGAGGACTGGGAAGAAGCATTTTTTGCACTGAATTCAATTTCTAGAGCAAGAGATTTTTAGATGTCTGAATATTCAGATACTTCAATTGTGGTTTGGGCAACGTTCCCGGACTATACTTCATTTGTCTCATTTGAAAATGCCTTCAAAAGGTACTGAAAAAAAAAGCTGCTTGACTTCAGCAATAACTTATTTTGCATTTAATCACCCCAAAAGCAAAAACTATATATATCACAAAAAATCGCTCCAAGCCCTCCCACCATTCACACCTTACACACACACTCACACAAACACACACACACACACAAAGACACACACACACATGCAGCGCGCGTTCGGAGAAATAGAGCTGGCCTAACTATAATAATTAACAAGATGCTGAAATAACTTAAATAATAAAAGGGCCTACATTTTTTAATTTTTATCATTTTAAGGGAAGAGTTCAACAAAAGGCTGGCACTTACACTGAATAGGTCCAATGAGCAAACTATACAAGAGTTAGGGTTAGGCTAAGGGTTAGGGAAGCCTACAAGAGTTAGGGTTAGGGTTAGGGTTACCCCCCCCCCGTGCTCCCTTATTCTCCTACACTCACTAGGCTACACTGAGTTTGTTTACTTATTTCACGTGATTCTGGCTTGTCTGGTGATCACAGCGAATTATAAACCACACTATACAAGAGTTAGGGTTAGGCTAAAGGTTAGGGTAGCCTAGCCTACAAGAGTTAGGATTAGGGTTACTGAACCCAACATTTTTTTATACCTCGCTCAAAATATCCTCTCTTTTGTGTGTTGTTGGTCCGCTGGCCCTCTGCCTGTCCACGTCGGATTATGCGATTTGTGGTGCGGCCATGTTTTTTCCCATAATTCAGCAACATTTGCATAATTTTGGATTCCTTGCTTTTTTAAAATGTTTTTAAATAAAATTTCTCATAAAACAATTTAAAGCCTCGCCATGTGACGAAAGGGAAGTAATCGCAGTAATAAGTCAAATTTAAGTGACAAGTTGGTTATTTCCCTTGTTATGGATTTTTTTCCTTGAGCATGTTCAATTTTTCAATCCATAATCATCAAAAGTTGTTCTCATGTCTGCTGATGTTTCAAGTTTCACAGGTGTCGCTGAGTTTTACTGATGGGCCAGCATCAGAGGTCCTGATGGCCTTCTTTTTTTTTTATTATTAAATTTGTAAAAATCGTTTTTCTCACCTCTATACAACTGAAGTGAAAGTTTCAGAGATTATATTTTTTGTTTGCTTTATTTTCCCACTGAAGAGTATCTTTCCAAATACACAAAAAAACTACTGATACTGATGTTCTATTTTCAATTCTTCTGCACATAGATCAAAAACCTGAAAATTCTTGTTGAAAAAGCGCAAAACATGTCATGAATGGCGCTATGGTAACTTGAATAATTTTTGCATAATTTTGAATTTGACTTGCATAATTTGGCCATCTAAATTAGCATAATTTTGTGGGGACAGCTGTGCAGAACTCCTTCCCATTCTTAACTGAAATCAGTAGCCAGCCCATGGAATAATTATAATAATGTCCAGACAGTCAAGAGGCTAGCCCAGAATAGGGAAAGGTGGTGAGTGTTTGTTTGTTCGTGGCTTTGGGTGAGATCAGTAGTTACTAATAATGATGATGATTAGCCAGTCCTCTGCAGCTTATAGACCATTTCTCCATGTTGCCAAAGATAATTTTTGGCACGGTCATGGTGAATGAGGCAGATCCAGATCTAGAGTCTAGAATCTAGAAAATATTTTAGGTCATAGATCAACCAAACTAGTGTCTATAGTCACTATAGATCTAGCCTAGATATCTAGGTCTAGATCTACATCTAAATCTAGATCTAGATTTATATCAATCCGAATTTGTCGGTGATACAAAATCTTACGCGAATTCTAAATGGCAGCGCAGATTTAATTCTGGCTGTTTAGGAACATTCATGAAATCAATTCAGGCTGGAAGGAGTTAAACTAAATGACGGACCCTTTTCTCCATACACTTACCTCTAGGCCTAGAATCTATATCTAATCTAGATCTAGATCTATATCTATCTATAACATTTCTCTGATTTTGTTCTCATCGACTCACCGATTGGGAAGAAACACTGCAGAATCTACAGTAATCTACTGCAGACCAGAGCACTTTGGCCTGCTAAAATCTAGAGGTACATTGCAGTACATAACAGTCGGCTTCAAATGATGAAGATAGTACTTCGTCACATTCATTTGTTTTGTAAGTACACATCAAAGAGGGTTATAAATTTTGATAGTAATAGCATTATTTAGATGTTTTACCTCTTGGACGAACATCAAAGACCTTCTTTCAAGCAACTTCCTAATTGGCACACATCAAGATAATGACTTTCTATTATTGATTGTACGGGTCGTCTCTCTCTCTCTCTCTCTCTCTCTCTCTCTCTCTCTCTCTCTCTCTCTCTCTCTCTCTCTCTCTCTCTCTCTCTCTCTCTCTCTTCTCTCTCTCTCTCTCTCTCTCTCTCTCTCTCTCTCTCTCTCTGGCTGAAGAGGGGCAGGGGAGGAGGCTACCCCCCCCTCCCCCGATTTCTTGAAAGCAGTGCAACGGGGGTGTTTGTGAGGGATATTAATTATAATTACCCTGTTACAAAAATGTGTAAAAATCAAAATACTACGCAGACCTAAACGGTAGAACTTGTGCGACACTGTCTACTGGATATATGAACTTCATTATAGTAGGCCTATATGTAAATTATAGTGCAGATTTAAAATACCTCCTTTGAATCCCCCAACAAAAAGCAGCCTGGAGTCATGGTCTAGAGATAAATTATTATTAAAGGGAATCTTCTGAAGTCAGACATTTTGTGTTGTCTATAGTTGCACATTGACAGGGTCGATCGAAAGACCTCGGGTACTTGATGAGAGGCATACGTCCAATGACAAACTAAATATTGTGAGGCAGCGTGTTGGAATCAGGCTCTCGTCAATATTTGGGCATGTTGAGTTATTGGTATAATCTTAAAGCTTGTTCCCTTGTCTTTATTTGGAAGAAAAAAATACCCATTTATCTTGACTACAAGTCGAGATATTTGCGAATGAGGGAGGTGGGGGTCACCTGCTTTCAGAGGTGAAATTAGTGAGAAAATGACCGCCAAAGATTAGTTATTTCCTTGGTATAAGAGTCCGAGATAACTGAAAATTTACATTTTTTGTGTCTTTAATCAACGTTTTTCACAAAAATCCACACAGAAATGAGTTCTTAACTGGGCATGAAAGGTGTTGAGCCAAAAAACAAAACTTTGATAAAAATTCACAAACCTGCTGAAAAATGCAAGTTTCTTCACTTTAATTATTTTGACGAGAGCCTGATCATTTCAGTCTGGGCTCTACCCTGAGAAATCTGGGAGCCAATTGGAGAAAAAAATAAGAGAGGTGTAATGCTTGGAGGAATCGGAGAACCTTTGGCACACTGACTCAGGTACCGTACTTGATGATAAGAAATTTCACTTGACTATCCCCAAATCTTCAAAGTCCCATAAATCAACAAATTCTATTGTGCTGTTCCCCGAGAGCAAAAATAAACCCCTCAGCTGTGACCTATATAACTCACGCTATTTTTTTTTATATATGTCGAAGGAAACATGCTGCTCCTGTGATGTACGGTGCTCGCCATGACTTGCGGAGCACGAGGACCACGATCATTGATGTCGTTCATCGAATTTTGCATTTGGCCTACTGCTTGTATGATGTAGATATATCTATTTCAGAAAACTAATTGCAGATTCGCATTCAGCAATATTTTGGGGGGTATGTCAAGGAGATTAAAAGTAATGGAGGATGCTCTGTGGACGGCACCGCACGCCTGATACTGATAGGAGCCCTCTCTCGCGGCGGAACTGTGGGCTACCTGCGCTGCGCGAATGCTCGACTCACGCACTGAAATCTAGATAAGAAAGAAGGTTTTATTCCGAGGTCCTTGAGATTAGGCAAGTCAATTAGTAAAAATGCCTTGCACCTGTGTTGTATTTAAGTGTAAGAACCGATATGATGCTGCAGTGGACCGCAGTTTTCACAGTTAACTTGTATTCCTTTTTAAAAATTTGAATGAAAGTGTTTTTATGCCGCCCCCCCCCCCCCCCCCCCCCCAGCAACACAATTTAGATCATTTATATTCATAAGAGGCTGGCTCCGGCGCTACCTGCCAAGGCCAACCTAGGCTGAAAGGGATACAACACCCCAGCAGAAAGACCGAGATACTCAATTCAATTTTTTTAAAGTATTCTTATTCATAAATATAATTATTATGTGTATATATATATATATATATATATATAATTATTATGTGTGTATGTATATATTATACATTTTAATTAAAGATATTGCTTTCCATTGTGTGTGCAAATTAGATGCTACTGTTGTCTAAATGTAGATATCTAGAGGCTCCATTAGTCTTCAATAGAATATGAAATCAATACTCAACTACAATAATGATGAATATTTTCTATGTTAAAGAAACATCAAACCATATCAGATGAGGGGAGAGGGTAGGGTGGGGTGGATAAGAGTTTGAGTCTTGTTAGATAGAACTATACTTGGTTTGATTCTTTTGTTGTAGTCTTCACCTAAGATCCCACAAACAATAATTCCGGTTCACTTAAGATTCTGCAGTTAAAAAATAAACCAAACAAAGCAACAACAAATTTTACTACACAAGAGTCATCACTAACATAAATTATCCCCCTCTGGAGTGTAATAAGGGGCTAAAAACGTTACTCTCCATATCATACTTTACAAAAAAAAACCCAACCCTTCAAAGGTCATCCACGCTCATGCACGCGATCACACCTCCAAAAGTGCTGTTATC